CACTATTAACTAGAAAAGAGATTAAACTTACGTCGTTAGATAGGGCAATTGAAACTCTTGGTCAACTTTGACGACCATGCAGATTTTTGGTTGTCCTTCTGGGACCAAGGCCTTATACGAACCAGCCCACATTTTCCAAGTGTAATTATGCATACTGCCATCAACAGTACACCAGTAGATTTGAAAGATTGACAAAAAAGGTGGGGATCACTAAATTCAGCGCAAAAGAAAGATCGGGGAGTGAGTTTATCCCGAAATAGCAGTCGTTTTTTCAAAATTAAAGCCTTGACACATATGGTGTGTCAAGCGGTCCAGAGTGGTAGTCATTGCTTGACACACTGTGTGTCGAGCGGTCGTTAATGTGTTAAACCTGTTAAACATGTAGATGACATATCAATTTTTTTGACACGTGGCAGGAAGATTGGCAACTCCATCCTGTGAAGTTGGGACCAGTATGGTACAAAAGAAGAATCAATGCCTTCTTTGAGAAAAACTGGCCTTTTTTTTAGAAGAGAAAAATTCTTGCGCTCCCAGTAAGGAATTGGGGAAACCGCCTGTTTCTTCAAAAAAGCAGCAGTGAATAACACTACTCAAATAGTTACTCAAAAATACCCAATCATCATGTAAACCAGAAAATTTTTAGATTATTTCAAGAGAGTAGCTACAGCGCAAAATTCTATGACCAGAGTAGTGACACAGAAAGCTTGTTCAGTCGATTATACTGTAAACCAACATAGAGGCAAAGCCAGATGCTTAATTTAAGGTTTCGTTTTTAGCTGACAAAGCAAGAGAAAAACTTATTATTCGTTTTTCGAGCATTTTTGCTAATTCTCTTTATTAAATTCTTTGTTTGAACAAAGTTTAAAGCCACTGAGCCACGGGAAGAGCACATAAAATTGAGGTCACAACGCTGTACACTACATTAAATCGAATTCACTACATCATTAGTGAAATCCAAGCGGACCAAACTGCATTTGAAAGTACGTCCAGGCAGATCTGGGCACATGCAGTAGCACGTGAAAAACACTCAGACACTATCCATTCGGCAATGCAAATCATTCCGGCTAAGAAATTCGCCTCCAGGCTGGACCCCATTGTCGTTGACGTATTACTTGCATCGTGCTTGCACTCTCTTTGAAGGACTCACGCGAAACTGATTGATCGCGGTGTGAAATGATACCAGCGCGATGCATTTTCTAAGGCCCCGGGCAGACTTCACGCGATTTGATCGTCGCGACTCAGCCGCGACGAGACAACTGTTACAATATCATTCCATGCCGATCAACTTCAATCGGTTGTGATACTTTTCCAGACCGAAATTTTTGAACGTAAAATGAAAATGAATAGAAATCTTGGCGATTAGATCGCGACGATTAAGTCGCGTGAAGTCTGACCGGGGCCTAACACAAAACAGGGGCTTCTGTTTGAGGACGAATATTTCAGCCGCAAGTGTACCATCTGTGCTGCCGCTTAGCTAATTCTTCTTCGATTCATCGGGAGTTGGGGCTGCTGGGAGGGCATGCTTGGGCACTGCACTCTTTCGTAAGCGTGGTCTGTGATCATCTTTCCACCACGAGCGTGGAAAAGGTTGCGAGAGAGGTACAAAGCAAGGCGAGGCGACCGCGCGAACGTGAGTCCCACCCAACTTCCACGCTACTTCCGGTAAATCAACGGTAGTCAGGGCCCCAAAATCACTTTTCTTATGAAATCCCTGTATCTAGATGTATCTGGACGCTGCCTCTAAATGCTGCGGCGCATCATCGATATCTGTCCTAGAGAAAGGGACCTGCCGAATGGAACTTCTGCTAATTTAATTTCGTTTGCACAACAAACTCAAAAGTTATAGATTCTTTTCTTTTGTGATATTTCAGGAGACATGTTTAAGGGACACTACTTTTGCCGCACCTGAATATGTAATGCAGTGTAAAGGCGTTGTTGTCTGAGAGGAATGATGCTTGCCTGTTGTCAACGAGAAATGTTGAGATTATAATTTTGAGATGCGTGGAACAAACTATCATCATAACTTATAATAACGGGCTAAGGATGTTTACGTGACTTTGTGTGTGTGTGTGTGTGAGTGTGTCTGTTACGAAATTCTTAGAGCGTGTTCCAGCCAACCTCCTGGGCTCAAATTTTGCGCAGTGCATGCTATCCGCATGAAAGTCCAACATGCGAAAGCACAAGCAGATTCGTTTAGTGGATCCCTCAGAAATCGCGCGCCAAACGGGTCCACCTGGCTTCTGTACCGCAAGATTCGGTCCGTATCATTGCTTTTTGCAGAGTCGTGGATGAGTTTGGTAAGCAAATGTGCAAGCGATAGAGCTTAGCCGGAAAAGTGGTCGAAAGTTTACTACATAACGAAAACGGCGCCAGAAAAAATTGGTTGTGTAAATGGTCAATTTGCCAAGGTTCTAGCTAAGAGTTTGAGAAGGTTTTCGCACAGAGATATAGCTCACGGTTATCATTACCTTCATGGCGACTACCAAGTAATGACAAATTCAAAAACCTATTCAAATTTGCGTTTGTTTTCCTGCGAAAAGTTTCATCCACGCGAAATCACCGATCTCACGTGAAAAAACTTTCTAAATGAGTGGTTGTTTACATTCTATTCGTGGTAGTCGGCATAGCGCGGTGAGTTCCAGTGCCACGATTTTACGAGAATGAGTAAGGCACATAGATAGTAGAGCCAGTGCGAGCCTCTGCGAAGCAGAGGTGACGCAGGGTCCGGCGGGGGTGGCGCTTTCACAAGCTGGATATCGTTTTTGGCCCGAAAAAGCAAAGGGGAAGTCGTATTTTGGGGTCCGAGGCGAAGCCCCGGACCCCAAAATACGACTTCCCCTTTGTTTACCGATAAACAATGCACATATCATTCTTTATTCATCATCCCTTGTTGATGCTAGTGTCCTGTGAACTTAGATTTCAGCAATGTGAAGATTCTGTGCTCCGATCGCTGGCCTGCCCACAGGCGGGAATTCAAATCGCAATTCTTGTAAGAGGGAAATAACAAAATAGGCTCGTTTTCAATGCACAAGTAACGATATAACACCAAATTTGCTGTATAGTTGGAGGACCATAAGCACAAAAAAAGTATGAAGAATTATGAGAAACTTATGTGAATTTAAAAAATGGTAAGTGTTTTTCGAAATTAGGTGGCTCCCGCGCCACCTGGGAGCCACCTGGGGTGGCTCCCTGCTTCCCTTCACATAATTTCCCGGATTTCCTTACATAAATGTGGACTAGGTCGAGAGTATTACTATATGTTCAAATCCGCTTCCAAAACCACCAAGGCACCGCTTCGATACAGCCCCAAATAGGGTTCACAGTGTTATGATCGGCCTCGGAAAGCGCGCTCCAATCGCAATCGGTGCACCTTGCACGGACGACGCGGAAACTTCGAGAATTTGACATTATGCTGAATTAGTGATCGCTGATTGAAGCAATCTTCACAATTTTCAAATAGATTGCTTCTTCGACAAGCCCTACAAGGGCTCAGAAGGGCCAGAGATCATATTTGGTCGTGATGTTCTACGCAAAAAGTTGTTTTTGTGATTGTGTTTCTTCAGTTTTCGCAATATGGTCGATTTCTCCGTACTTTCGCTCTTTTGGGTCGTTTGTTTTCGTCGTTTTCCTTTATTCTGGTTGTTGCTGGCATGCTGTCATCAAAAGTTGAGGAAATGTTTTTGACAAGATCGAGTCGAGTAAAGTCGGTGGACCTTCATCCCACTTAAACGTGGCTATTGGCAGCTCTTTACAGTGAAAGCGTTCAGATATGCAATTACGAGAGTCAGCTGCTTCAGAATTCTTTCAAAGTAGGTTTATTTTTTTGAATTTTCATGTATTTTTGTATGTTAGGCCCCGGCCAGACTTCGCTCAAGATAGCTCATTCAAGAATGAGTTCCTATCCCTCAAATAGTTAGGCCTTGCCATGTGTTCTTGTACATATGCGTCGTGAAAAAAGGCCTTTGGTGTTTTTGAGCGGTTCTGGGCTGTTCAGTTGAAGTCTGGCTGAAGCCTTATGTTGCTTACTATGTTTCAATCCAGTATCTTGCGCATTCTTCAGATATGTGATTTGCAAGTGCGCGCTGCCAAGTTTATTTCACGCAAAAATTGGATTGTTACCGGCTCAGATGACAGCATGTCAGAATTTTCGACTACAGCACGTCGCACTTAGTTCACCAATTTGCGGCTCATTCGGACTATCTCAGGTAGGTGGAATGGTGCATTTATGCAAATATGTTACATGACATCGAATTTTTGCATTCGTTTTTGTACATTTGTAATTTTTTGCTTTTTCTTTGTGTGTTTTCCTTCATTGCCTCCAATATTTTTGTGGATCAGCGAGACCCATATTTACAATGTGTTTCTGGTCTGGACGATCCCTTACTCGACAGAGTTTACGCGATTTGATCGTCACGATTAAATCGCGACAAGACAACTGTTACGAGTTCATTGCATGCCGACCAGCTTGCACTTCGGGACTGTCAGGGACTTACGGGGGTCAAAAATAGGGTCAGAAGGGAAGTCGTAAGAAATTTTGGCTTCAAAGAGGATGTCGTTTTCAAAATCCTGAAATGCCACCTCCTGCCGGGCCCTGAGGTGACGCACTGGTGACTTATAATAAGCGGCTTAATCTGAAGTTGTGTGGAGTTTGTCCGTTACGAAATTACAGTGAGGAATGATTTACGATACTAAACATCATGTGAGGTTAAGATAGCGAGTATGGTTCATTTTTAACTACGGCTCACGTTGCAATAAACCGAACAATGATTTGAGAGACAAGCTCTCAGAAAGTGAGTTTACCACGGTTCACGATGCCAGTGCGAACCTCTGCGAAGCAGAGGTGAAGCACTGGTCCATGATGAAAATATGTATGCTTCACTTAAAAGTAGACAGAAAGCGCTATCGTTTGCCCATCGCTGTTATAATATTATTCTCGAATACCCATTTTCGCGGGGAATACGGTCCAAAAATGGGAGGCCTTGTTTCCTTTCAAAGCTCACCTTGTTGAACACGATCGATCCTGTGCGTGGAAGGGCGATTAACGCGGTTAGAGGTAGTCGGCATCAGGACTTCAGGTGGCTGTTCTAAATTTGATACATTCAAAAAAAAACGCCAAGAATATTCCGCCCTTAAACAATGCTTTTAAGGAGAAAACTGAGAGTTCCAGACAATTTTCCCTGATACAAAGTCTGAGACCCCGGCCAGACTCAAAAGCGCCCCGATTTCTCTAGTGTCTCTTCAATTTCCCGTGTGAGATGAGAGAACGTGAAGAGAGGTTGGAGAAGTTTGGGCGCTTTTGAGCAAGTCTGGCTGGTGTCTGACAGTGAGCCTCATAAGAACACGTTCACGGCCGTGTGCATATGCGCGTATGCACGCCCTAATTCCCGTTTAGCATTTTCGTGCATACGCGCATATGCACACTAGTTTTTAAATGTAAACGAAAAGTTTTCAGGTAACTTTTATTTATGCAGTAATAATATTGGCCTATCTGTCATATGGAACAAGGCATTGAAGTAGCTGTTGAGGGATTCAAACGGCAATTTCAGGTATTCAGTCCATGTTTGATGCGGTAAAATATGCTGATTATGTTTCTCAGAGAAGGAGGAACTCTGTATAGCTGTGTAATTGTGCATGTGTGATTTTTGGTAAACTCTGTGATATACATGTATTTTCTAAGTTCGCATGTTCCTTCAATGAGCGTTCACTCGTACATAGTGTTTTCGTGTACTAGGCTGTTTCAGTAGTTCTCTCCGATTTGCAAATTTTTCAGAAGTTTCATATTTTCAAAATCAACAATTTCGAACAAATTAAATTTTTATGGAATGAGCGAGTTTATGGCTGTCACAAGCACTGTATGCCGTGAAAGGAAGGCAAACGAGAGAGAAAAAATTTTTTCGAATTTTGCAAGGTTTTTTTTCAAAACCTTCCAGTTTGACCTACTAACGTTTCCATACGAGGGTGGACAGACATATTTGGCTGCCATCATTAAGTAGCCTATACTTCAAAGTTCTTTTGCGGATAAAGAGAACGAGTAATCTTTGCTGCATAGAAATATTTGCAAGCTAATCAGAAAAAGTTACTTGAGCCCTCCTCCGCGTGCGAAAATATGCCGACTTTGTAATATTTGACTTTTTCTTGCTGCGGCAAACGAAGGAAGCCAATTGGCCGATGGTCTCTGCTTGCTCTCGCTTTACTTTGACATATGCAGTATTGAATGCATCACCTGTCACTATGTAGATTGTTTTCGCTTGTTGAATAACTAAGTTTGTCCTTTCTTTGAAAACAAAAATCAAAAAGACATCCTCTACGTCGGAGAAAAAGTGTGCTTATGTTAGCTCATTACAGCCTCACCCATTGTAGAATATTACATATTTAGTTTTACGAACACTGCGGAATTTCGCTACACGGAAACTTTTTTTGGGCATGAGTGCATTCTGGCAGCTTTTCTTCGGGGCTTGAAATTGCATCACTGAAAAGTTGATTTGCCAAGCATTAGTGAGCGTTAGGAAGAGCAGGAAAAGTACTTCTAGATAATTTTATGACAATGCCATAAGTGCAAAACCCTAAGAAAATAGCTGGGTTGAAATAAGGCAATTCAAAATTGGACAGAACTTTTGAAACAGCCTAGTATACGCGTGTACGCACGGGCAGGGTGCGCTAGAAACATAGTCGGAGTTTCTCCCAGAATGGCTCGGCCACCAACTTGTTAATAAACAAGATACATATCCATGAATGTCCACAGTGGTGAGCATGGATTTGCTGATCCTATTTTATTCACTCAGTGGACACTCGACAATTGCACTATCGCTTACTGATCGTTGTCATTATCTTCGCATGCCCCATCTTTGCGTAAATATGTCCAAAGTGGGAGGCCTTTTCTTCCAAAGCTTACCCTGTTGAATATAATCGATTCTGTGCTTAGGAGGACTATGAATGCGGTCCGAGGTAGTCTGCATCAAGTCTTCAAGTGGCTGTTCTAAAAGAAGTGCACTTAAAAAACGCCAAGAATAACCAGCCCTCAAATACTGCTTTTAAGGAGGAAACGGAGAGTATGTAAGAATTCTCCCTGACGCAAAAAATAGGTTGTTTGACAATGAGCCTTCCTAAAAGAAGAGAGCTAAAAGTGAGGCCTCAAGGAGGCTTTATCGTGATATTTCAAAGATTATTGCCATTCAAACGTGTTAAACAAAACGTTTGTCTTAGTTTAAATTTTCAGTGTATTTTAAGCTCTGGTAAATCCCAGGGTTTTTTATAGACAACCTTTTCACAAACTAAGAAGAATTCACAGACGTCATCAGCGTCAAGCTATCCACAAGAGATCATTTGATGATTTACAAATGCGATGTGCTCGGATTAGCGCGCGTTTAAAGCAAGTAGGATCACAGCTGAAAGGCGTTCGTCATGAACATAGTATTATGTTCAAAGTATTAGTCATTCCTCATAGTTCAAAAATTTTGCTCAACTGCTTGGAAGCACGCGGAAAAAAAATTTTTTTTTTCAATTTATGTTCTTTCACTTTTCACTATAAAATTAGGTAGACGTTGAGTAGACCAGAGAACGACTGATATATCTGTTGTATATCCAGAGCGTCTTTCGAAGACTCAGTATTTGTTAAAACGCAGTTTGGTACAAATCAGTCGAATTCTGTTGTCTACTCCTATGGCATTGTTTACTGATACTGAGACCAACTAGTACTGATTCTTTCAAGCATTAAAAAAATCTCACTTGCCTGGTGTTGTTGTTTTTTCCCACAAACGCCTTGCACACGGCGCATTTCTAAAAAGCTTAAATGACTGATCGATAGGATCAAAATATTTCTCAAAGATAGTGAGAAGATTTTTTAACTAAGTGTCTTTTATCGCACTCGTACTGGTTTAAAATGTTTGTCAAAAATTGAAACTAACGTGACTATCCTGGTGTGTGTAACAGTTTTGATGGGTCTTCGAGCGGCTTGCCTGCAAAGTAAGTCTTTGCATGGTGAAAACTATAAAGCGACTAAATCTTGGTTTATCACTTTCACAAATAACTAGCACAAAATGTATACTTTGACAAAATGAGGGCTGCAAGATGGTTGACAAAGGTGTAAACAAAGAAAAAAATGAGGAGCTCTTGAGATCCAGTCATACTGTACTCCATGACAATTACACGTGTATCAGTCTTAAAATAAGACATTGTCTGGAAGGCACTGAAGTTATTTAACACATTGACGACCGCCATGTGTATCGTTGAAAAATGGCTACTTTTTTTTTATCCTTGCATCTGTCCCTATACGGGGTCTGCCGCTCTTGTCAGTCTCTTCCATTCTTTTCTATCTAAGACTCGACTATCATCTAATTCAAGTTCTCTGAGGTCTGCTGGTCCGTCCATCTTAGCTTTGGTCTTCCTCGTGGTCTTTTTCCGGGAACATCCACTGACATTGCTAGTCTTGTAACGTGTGCTTCTTCTCGTCTTCTCACGTGCCCGTACCATCGAAGCAGCCGTTCTTGCATCTTCTTGGCTATCGGGGCAATTTTCATCGTGGTTCGTATAATATCATTCGTGACGTGGTCGAGCATGGTCACAACCATCGTCCATCGTAGCGGACCATGGGAGTGGGCGTATGAAGTCTCTTATTATCGTGGCTACTATTTTGTGTTAAATCCTCTCCGGGAGTTTTCCTTTGTGTTGGATCTAGACAAAAACCTTTACTGTTTTTGCCAGCATCCCAGAGTTACGGTAGGTGTACTGTAGATGAAATCGCGCGTGGTTTTATCTAAAAAATGTTGACCGGTCCTTGAAACGCCTTGGTCGTCAATGTGTTAAAACTCATCTCTGGTTCATAAAATGCTTAAAAGCTTTCTTACTATTTGAATTTCACTCTTGAAAATCGCTAAAATCGACTTTCTAATTTCAAGTGGACATGGAACAAAACAATTTATGGTGATAATCACATATAGTGACCATTATATGCAAGGTCTTTCGACTATGTATCTACTAGCTGTTTTGTGATGCATCTTCTTGTACTTGTTTCGTAAACTAAAGGTACCAAATTGAAAAGGCTTCCATCAAAATACTTGTTTTTGAAATAGGATTACGATAAGACAAAGGTGTTGGATACCATGAATCATATTTATCGCGGAAGAAAAGCTTCTACGAGCTTGCCACGAAGTCAGATGCACATACCAACACCCCTCTTTTTCTCAATGCTTGTAAACACACCGCCAAAGGTGCGTGTGGTTTTGTCAGACCGTAGTTGCATTGATTTCACCTTTTTCTTTAGCTAAAAGAGGAGTTTACTCGAAGTGACCTAACCCACCAAAGTGTGTAACTAAATGACCGCCTTGATATAATGATTACAAACAATGAATAATATAAGAGGAGATTTGCGTGCTTTTCTTCCTTATTTTAATACCAGTGCGTCACCTCTACTTCGCAGAGGTTCGCACTGGCTCTACTATCTATGTGCCTTACTCATTCTCGTAAAATCATGGCACTGGATCTCACCGCGCTATGCCGACTACCACGAATAAAATGTAAACAACCACTTATTTAGAAAGTCTTTTCACGTGAGATCGGTGATTTCGCGTGGATGAATCTTTTCGCAGGAAAACAAACGCAAATTTGAATAGGTTTTTGGATTTGTCATTATTTGTTAGTCGCCATGAAGGTAATGATAACCGTGAGCTACATCTCTGTGCGAAAATCTTCTCAAACGCTTAGCTAGAACCTTGGCAAATTGACCATTTACACAACCAATTCGTTTTGGCGCCATTTTCGTTATGTAGTAAACTTTCAAAAAAATTCTGTTAAATTCCATTAAATTCCATCGCTTGCACATTTGCTTACCAAACTCATCCACGACTCTGCAAAAAGTGGTGATACGGACCGAATTTGGCGGTATAGAAGCCAGGTGGACCCGTTTTGGCGCGCAGTTTGTGAGGGATCCACTCAACGAATCTACTCGTGCTTTTGCATATTGGGCTTCCATGAAGGTAGCATGTGCTATGCAAAATTTGGGCTTAGAACGTTTGCTGGAACATACTCTACGAATTTCGTAACGGACAGACAGACACACACACACACACACACACACACACACACACACACACACACACACACACACACACACACACACACACACACACACACACACACACACACACACACACACACACACACACACACACACACACACACACACACACACACACACACACACACACACACACACACACACACACACACACACACACACACACACACACACACACACACACACACACACACACACACACACACACACACACACACACACACACACACACACACACACACACACACACACACACACACACACACACACACACACACACACACACACACACACACACACACACACACACACACGTACAAAAAGACGTAAACAACGCTTAGCCCGTCATTATAAGTCATGATGCTTTCCTTATCTGTTTATCGGTTTATTGAACAAAGTTACAAGCATTAGTTGGTCCCCAAATGACTCTGAATTTGGTGCCTTACTACAAGAAAGAAGATAGCTGCAAACTATCTACATCAATATTTTTGTAAAGCCAATACATCTCAGACTTTCAGACATGAACTTTAGAGCAAATTCGTATGTATCACAAACTTAGGCTTAGGCCATTCAGACAGTACGTGACCATCCAAGAAGCGGAAAAATGCCTCTTACTTCGTTACGTAAAGATACGCGGATACGGAAGATCGTTTTGAAATCAGCGCCCAGACCTCCCGAGTGGATACATTCAACTGTGAAAGTTCACTCCGAGTCAAAAACTCTCTTTCATAATTGCTATATATTGAATCATCGCTGCTAAAGCTGATTGAGTCTCGGCACCATTCAATTGATATGTTGAAGGCACGCCAAAATGAAGTTTGTGAGACTTTGATGCTGTATAATAGCTTAGCCCCAAACTAAGTAATCGCCAAAAAACCGCTGCGAAAGGTAAATTCGGAAATGAGAAAATCGCTCTAGAAGGTAAAAGAGACCCATGCAGCACCGCCCCTCGACGTGGGTAGTCTGAAGGTAATAAATCCAAAATGAGTTCTGACCCGTATAAATGAATCTGAGTGTCTGTCCGAATGTTTGTATGTATGTCTGCATAGGCTACTGCACGACGAAGGCGGATTAGCAGTATTAGTTGAGCGGGCGCGAACTCGGCGCGCGCTTACCTTTCACCGCTGCAAACCCTGCACCTCATGCGCTTTGCGGCTAATAAAGCCGCGTTCGCGCCCAAAGGTATTGCACCTTTGTCATTCAGTAGCCTATATGTCTACATCATCAATTCCACGACTCGTGTAGAGGCGGGGTTCTGCCAACTCAATGCGTGGCGGTTTTTGATAGCGAGAGAGTACAAAAAACAATGCTATGACGTGGATGTTTAACAAGTTTATCTGTGTTATCAGGCAAAGTCTGCAATACACCTCTACACGAATCGTGGAGACGATCATATGTCTGTATGCCTGTATGTTTGCCTGTCTGCTCTTTCTCAACCGATCCGGACCAAACTTGGCACACATATACTTCGGGACAAGGCGGGTTTCGTGAGCTAATCTTCATCATTGATCTATATCGATTTTATGGATTTTTTGCAAAGTCTCTTCTACAGGGCTGGGAGTTTGTACAGGGTGTGTGTAGGTGAGCATGTTGATTAAAAAAATTTATCGAACGGGCCAGGCGAAGTCAAATTTCTCAGCTAGGTATCTTTGATGATCATTCACATTTTCTACATGCCTGTCTGCCCTTGAGCTTAGTTTTGAACTCACTATCTTTCTTATCATTATCTTCCACCCACGTTGATGGGCTGTGCCGCTTGGGCCGCTTCTTCCTTTTGAAGCAACTTCCTCGCTTCGGAGTGCACCTTTTGCAGCAGGACTTGCACATATTAGGAGCCCATTATTGTACAATATCAAAAACTTACAACCTCATTTTGGGGGTCTTTAAGCAAGTCATCAGATTAGTCCAAGCATACAACGTACCATTGCTGAGAAAGCGCCCTTAGCTTTCCGCGAATAAACGTGTTATGCCCCACAATAAGACTTCCAACGCCCTAAAGTGCTTGTTACACTCTCGTATGCCCTGATAAGGCAACATAAGTTCTCGATTACCAATGCTGATGAAGCAATGACGGAGAGAAGAAGGAAACATGATCTGTGTTGCATTGGCAACTTGAATTATTATCATATAAAATAGAAAAGAATCGAACAGAAAAAGAAGCGGTTAATGCATAAAACTCAAAATCAATTCACAGACCGCTATACTTGTTATGTTGTAAAAGACACAGTGAGCTTTCCCATTTGCATTAAGGCTAAATGTTGTGATAATGTCGAACAAATACGCATGATTCATCGATTGATTATTCTGCCATAATGTAGTTGTTTTAAAGGATAGTTGAAACTTGAAAAGCATGTTTTTCGCGGGAAAGAAAGTTCATGAAGCCGAACTCGTTGACTGCAGCATTTGAGTTCATTGAAAAGGTCACACATGAGAGGCGTAGCTTCTCGTGAAAACTAAATTTACTACCAAGACTGTGTAGCAGAATCTTGCTTATTTAGTCACTGGCGTGAGACAATACGAATATATTATGCAATGATGTAATATGTACAGAGCTTATTTGCTGATTGAAACTTGCAGAAAATTTGGATTTGCTACTGCCATCAGAAAAGAGCATTCGAAAAAGTTTTGTTTGCGCAAAAGTGGCTTTTGATGTTGATCTCGAAAGCAACTCGTGTCAGAGTCAGATGCAAAATTAGTTAACACCACACAAACCATCCACTTAGTAGTTATATACGAGCAAGGCCGCGACCACCTTCAGACAATAACGCAATCCTAAGAGTTGCTTTGAAATGATGACGACATGTTGTTAACTACTCTCGGAAGAACCCATGCACGAATAATCTTGAAAGGACCCACGCATGTTCTCAAAAATGAGCGATGCAGAGATTAGATGATAGCCTCTTAATCCAGGCTTCGGAAATCAGGCTCAAATTTGAGTGTAGTCTACTACGGACGCATTAAAGGCAGCGTCCAGGCAAAATCGCCTCTCGTGTTTCTGCTATTCTGGGGCCTTTCCGTGGCCCTGATTACAGTTGTAATGTCCAAATTGTTCAAAACTTCCAAGAAACCCGGTTCTTGGGGACCCTCTCTTCAAGGAGCGGACGAGTTTCGAATTGCTCGTCCCCATCGTCATGCCAGCGGGAGGAGCTGCAACTGCACGGATGCAGTTGCATTGCAGTGTGCAGTGCAACTGCAATGCAACTGTAATGCAACCGCACACCTGCGTAAGCACTCGTCTTCAGGGGTGGTTTGTGATACGAAGGGGCGGCTTGTGATGCGTACCACAGACCCGTATTTCCTTTTAGAGGGCACGTCAAAGGATTGGACCAACGCAGATCGGATACTCATGGGCCCTTCTTTACAACTATGTGCTAATCTGGGTGGATGGATCTTGCCTGAACGCTGCCTTTAAACGTATGCGACATTCTGAGGCTTTTCATTCAAGTGCGTGACATTTATGCCACATTTTGCAAACTTGGTAAAACGCATAAAAACTTAACTCGAATGTATTACAGGTGAATCTGAAGCTAGATTGTTAGGTTGGTAGACACCTAACGTGAACCAATCTAGTCTCGGACGCCCTCGAATTTACACTACCTTAGGGCGGTGGCATACCCCAATGCTAATCATCTGTCTATTTCCTAAGCCGGTTAAGTCTGCTTCTGTGGCGCAAGCAAATCTCCACTTACGGTTTTCTTGCTTTTTGCAACTGTTGCACTTGACAGGGAATTGAATGTGATCATCTTCTTTTCTATTGATCAAGTACTTCCTGTTTGTTGTTTTTCTTGTAGTTATGTTGGCGCATTGTGGAGCATAGAATAGAATAAGTCAGATGGGCCTTAAAGCAGCCCAAGATCTGTCCTGATCTGCAAAATTGGGATGTTCTTCAAGATATCGGAATTTTTCATAGTCTACAAGCAACAAAGTCTTGCCAAGATAAGATGACTTGGGATAACTTTGGAAATTATCGGAAAAAAAGAAATATTTGTTACAGAGGTGATTATCTAAATGGGTGAATCATTACGTTTTGGACAAAAACGGTTTAGTATTGCCTCTAGCATACTGCTACTACGGAGGCAATTTTCAATGGCTGTGATAATCGATAAGGTGATGATAACCGCTATCAACGTTTCCCAAAAACAGGAAAAAACATATCTGTAGCAGTTTTACAATAATTTAATGAAAAAATGATACCAGAAATTTTTAAGAGATTGTCGAGATCTGTCAAATTTTTCAAAACTCAAAAGCAGTGTCCAGAGCAAAAACTCGATTTCTAGCAAAATCACACACTAAGGTTTCCGCAACGCTGATGCGAATCGCGTGAGTGAGCGCTAAAACTGCGAGAAAACGTTTTCAAAGGCAGTACAATTTGAATTTGAATAAGTGGAACAGTCCTCGCCGAAGCTGAAACGCAGAGTTGCTGAGAGACTCTACAACTTTAACTGTGGCGACATGCAAGGAAGACGAGTGAATATTTTTATTAGGCTCTGTCTTCACAAATGCTATCGCATACCATATTGAAGTTGAGCCAGGCTTTGCAGCTACGTAACGTTGCGTACTCTGCGCAGTTTGGCCCAACCCGGACCGCGTTCGGTGAGGGCGGTGTCTAACAGAGCTATTCGTCCCTCTATCCAACATGCGTTCTCACACAGAGTAGGAAATCGTAGTGGGCGAAGCTCTCTAAAGCGCAAGTCTCCCGGCTTTTCAATCGTACTTGCTTCGGCTCGGAGGTTATGGCGCACTTGTGCGATGACTGTCCCAGGGGGTTCACTTTTGCACGTAGCTAGCGTCGCAAAACCCCAGCCTTGTCCGGCCTATGAGTTGAGCGAACTTTCCCACGATATTACATCAACTCAAACATTTTTTTAGTAACTCAAACAGGAGATCCTTCCACAAAATGTCTGATCGGACCGAAATCCGGTGCACTGGCGGGAATCATCTCTTTGGTTTCGTCCCGATTTTGGTGCGATTTTGGCGCTACGCTCGTATAACGAGTGGAGCTTATGGGGCTTGCAAGATAATTGCCATCGCTTTTTTTTTATTGATTTTTGCTAATTAGTGCTCTTGTCTTCGAAGTTTTTGTTTTCGCTCTTTCTCATACATTTTTATGAAATCTATTCTGTCTTATTCAATGCACGCATGGTCCGCCATTGATGGTGAAAAATTTCTTGAGAAGGTAAAAAGAAACGTTTAACACGCAGTCACCAATGTTGACTAATGTAGAAACTCGTTTCGCACTCAAATTGCGACTGTGAAAAAAGCATAGTAGTAACATTCCTTCCGTTAAACTTTTTGAAAGATTTCGGTTTCTGATAATTCTTTCGATTCATTAAAACAAACCAACAAACTTCCAAAATATCTGCCTCACTAGGCGAATTTCCTACATACAATACTAATGAGAATAGTAATTAATACAGAGCTTAAAGCTCAACTCACTGATGAAATATAAGAAGAGGAAAGACAACGAACGCTAAGAACATTAAGACATCACAAAGATGAAAGAACATCCTTTTGACATGGTTCTAGCAAAAATGTATCAGATAACCGATGTAACCGGATGCTGTCCAAAGCGCACTCACTTTCTTCGACATCGAGATTTTCGCATATAAATCGTATCTAAAAGGAGATTTAGGAAAGCTGTCTGTTTTTAGGAAGGTTTTATTACCTTTGCAGTGTTTGCAGGACAATCAAAACTGCCGCTTTGCCAAAGCAACACCCCCGCTTCAGATGGAGTAGCGAATGGACATTTTTGAGCACCATTGATGTCAGAACAGCAGCCTATGAGTCGTGTACCCGATCTCCACTCCAATGCATCGAATAGGATCTGAGAAAAGCAATCTTCACAACGACCAAAATGAAAAGATCAGTAAAGTTTATGAAATTATTTTAAAAAAAGCAATGCAACTTGTGACTTCATAGCATCCTTCAATGATAAATCAACAATGTATCAGCTTTTTTATAAAAGAAATTTTTTGGCCACACCTTTCTCTCTCTTTCCTCCCCCCCCCCCCCACCTTCCCCTACCCTCACAGCTTGCACTTAATTAGCCTCTGCAGAAAGCATTTATACAGTTTTCAGCAGGAAAAGCGAGGTATTCTAAAAATATGTTTTCGTGATTAAAAGGTGCTGTCGAAAAAATCATGGCAAAGTCCAACGAAGGCAAGGATGCTTGACAAACCATAAAGGAATCCTACTGTGCAAATTTTATACTGGACTGAAATATGTACTCACTATCTCGCAGCGGTCTTTTCTAGAAAAAACTTAACAGTATCAAACGAAGTTTGCGAACTTTATGTAATCAAAATAGACGATACTGTGTTTCATGCTGTAGCACCTTCTAAAATACTCTTGTATTCATATTAAATAGATCAGTTTCTCCTTGAACAAATCCAGAATTCAAAAAAGTCAGGATCGCATCATAAATTTTTAGGCCATTGTAGCACTGAGAGCATTCTTGACAAAAATGCGGTAACCGTGTAAAGATCAGTGTCTCACGATAGTGAACCAGTAATCTCAAAGGTGCTAGAATTGCAGGCGCTCGCTTCGCAACCCGTTCGGTTTCCCGCTCTTCGCAACCCGTTCGGTTTCCCGCTATCTGATGTTTTTTGAACTGCCTTATTATAATTTATATATATACTAGCGAGTCGCTAGCAAGTGGGTCGGGGCAGATACATATAAGGGCTTAGGTTTGACTAAAAATATTTCTAAATAAGTTTCCTGTTCCTTTCCTGAGAACATTTTTGCGAAGAGCATTCCACAAAAGGAGAACTGCTCGAAAAAGCGATAATCTTCACAAATCATTCAGCATTTCTCGAATTATTTTTATCTCGTTTACACGCTTTTCATGCAAATTTCCCTCCTCACAGAGACATTCAGATAACCCCCCCCCCCACTTTTCTACCCTTTCAAAGAGAATTTGCTCTTTCAGTTCTTCTCAGCAAGTTCCATAAAAGATCGTTGAGTAAGTAGCAGAACATATGTTTTGGAAGTAGAAACACACCATAATAATTATGTGTATTACAAAAAACACTTTTCTCTCAGAATCAGTTTCGACAGCAACGAAATCAATCGTCTAAGAACTTTGTCAAAGAATCCTTCAATTTTTTCGCCAAAGGAATATGAAGCTTTACTACATAAGTAGATCCCTCCCCGAAAAGCACACTACCGAGCCACCTAAAGACTGTCAATCATAAGAACTGCATAAACGTACAAAAAATTTCTTTCCCTGTCCGATCAAATTGCCCTGCGGGCCGATTACAAACCAATTATCTATTTGAAAGAAAGTTCATGCCCTATGTGCCGCTTGAAGACCGTTAAAAAATTACAAGAACTGCCATAACATACAAAAATCTGTTCCCCTGCCCGATCGGGTTGCCCTACGTGCCGCTTACAGACCGAGAGTAACTATTCAAAATGAAAGTTTATTCCCTACGCGCCGCTTGAAGACCGGTAAGAAATTACAAGAACTGCCATAACATACAAAAATCTGTTCCCCTGCCCGATCGGGTTGCACTACGTGCCGCTTATAGACCGACAGTAACTATTCAAAAAAAGTTTATACCTTACGTGCCGCTTGAAGACCGTTCAGGAATTATAAGAACTGCCCCAAACGTACAAAAATCTGTTTCCCTGCGCGATCGGGTTGCCTTACGTGCCGCTTACAGACCGAGAGTAACTATTCAAAATGAAAGTTTATTCCCTACGCGCCGCTTGAAGACCGGTAAGAAATTACAAGAACTGCCATAACATACAAAAATCTGTTCCCCTGCCCGATCGGGTTGCACTACGTGCCGCTTATAGACCGACAGTAACTATTCAAAAAAAGTTTATACCTTACGTGCCGCTTGAAGACCGTTCAGGAATTATAAGAACTGCCCCAAACGTACAAAAATCTGTTTCCCTGCGCGATCGGGTTGCCTTACGTGCCGCTTACAAACCGAGAGTAACTATTCAAAATGAAAGTTTATTCCCTACGTGCCGCTTGAAGACCGGTAAAAAACTACAAGAACTGCCATAACATAAAAATTCTGCTTCCCTGCTCGATCGGGTTGCCCTACGCGCCGCTTACAGACCGAGAGTAACTATTCAGAAAAAAAGTTTATGCCCTACGTGCCGCTTGAAGACCGTTTAAGAATTACAAGAACTGCCCCAAACATAAGAAATCTGAAAAAAAAACCCGCTTACAGACCGATAGTCAAAAAGAAAGTTTATGCCCTACGTGCCGCTTGAAGATCGTTTAGGAATTATAGAACTGCCCCAAACATACAAAAATGTGTTTCCCTGCCATCGGGTTGCCCTACGTGCCGCTTACAGACCGACAGTAACTATTCAAAAAGAAAGTTCATGCCCTACGTGCCGCTTGAAGATCGTATATATAAAAAGCCAATTTTACGACTCTACAGAAAGAGAACAACGAAATCAAGTATTTACAGCGTATTTTCAAACTGCCACATTTGGACTTCCAATTCCGAGAACTGCCCCAAACGTACAAAAATCTGTTCCCTGCCCGATGGAATTGCCCTACGTGCCGCTTACACATCGATACCCACGAAAAAAAAAGCAAGGCTGTTGTTAGATAAACGCTTCTAAAAGTACCAGCGAGACTAAGTTATTCACGCACTCTCTTGTCTACACTCGGAAGCAAGATAATTTTGAAGTGACTGTTGTTAGAGCATTTTTACGAAGATTTGAGAATATAGATGAATTTAGCTCAAGTCACGCTTTCACGCAATTTGGCATCATTTCAAAAGCAACTAATAGGAGTAGAACATGTTTGAAAAACACATTCTGGGATAACAAGTTCGATTTTAAAAAGGTGGGACAAATAACACACCCGGACACCGGCGACACAGTCTCAAAATTATTGCGACACTCATTGACCTTTTTACGAAAATCTGCTTGGTCACTCGTTATGAAATTTGGCAGCGTTCCAAAACGCATGCCACTTGGCAGCAATCCAATTCCAAAGATCAGTGTATTTATCATAATTTTTACGTCTGCGGCCTCCTCGTTTGCCATGATCCAACTATCGGCGGCTTAATGGGTAAACAACGAATTCGTTATATATTACGTAGTGATTAGATATAAGTTGACCAAAAAATAAATTCGTTTTGGCATACAAATCTTTATGAAAAAAATTTTCCCGTTGTTTTATATCCATGATTCTTAGTGAGAAAGTAGTTCAAAGCTTCTTTTATCACATAGCAAATATTTGGGACTTTCTCTTATCAGTAAAGAGATACGTAAACATGATCAAATTTCCAAAGCTCAATTTTTTGACTTTCCAAGCTTCGTTTCTCTGCTGTAATGAAGGTAGAGAATAGCAATTCGGTATTTGGATATAGAGGAGATCTCGCTGTTTAGTGAATAAGAATGAAAAATGTGATCTGCCGCTTTGAAAACTTTTTAGCAAAAAAAACCAAATTTCCTCGTTTCTGCGCACTATGAGAAGAGGTTTCTCATTTGCTGAATTTTCTTTAGAAGATAAGTTCTACTAAAACAAAATTTAGGCTCACATTCCCATTGAAGTGTTTTTTTCCTGAGATATCAAACAAAAAAACAACAACAACAACCAACAAAAATTCGTCTGCGAAATTTGTAAGGACCGCAAAAGCGACCGAACTTATTTATTAGCCAGCCTAATAGCATACAGAGGTACATTCTCCAAAAACTTTTTCTGTAGTCTTGTTGTTTTCCAAAAACAGTGTCTTAAGAGTCGATGAATTTCATATAGTGATCACAGGAGTACTTATAAAAGGGACGTTGATAAATTTGACTTTGAAAAATCAAACAAAAAACTCAATTCCGAGCATAATCTGCTAATGCGAATTACGGTGCTCGACATGTTTATTGGCGATAGAAAGCATATGATTATCGTCAACGCAACCTCTTAAGTAGTTTTAAGATCAGATGCGATGTCACAATCGCAAATTATAAGTGAATATTGGACTATCGCTGAAGTTTTGCGATTCGCAAATTTAATAAGGCAAAACAAAGGGGAACGGACTGGCTCGCTTCCGATCTCACTTTACTACCCTTTTCTCCGACAGTGCTGAGACTGTGGGATTCTCGATCTTGGCTCAAGCGCTTACGGAATACGCAAATCTTGATAATCCTAATGCGCACTCAGGTGTTAAGAGATAGCAAAGAAGCTGAGTTGCTTACCGTATGCGGTTCAGTCATACGAGTGACGCTTTCCAGAACAGACGTCCTACCAGGAGGAACACGGGCTCGTATGAAACTGGATAGTCCCACTATAACGATTACATCTTACTAATTGCATAATAATGATATCTCAAACTTACCTTTCAGTCGAATAAAACGATTTGCATGGGGCACATCATCGGGATGTACATATGAGCACATAGATCTATCAAATAGACATCCACCTACTGTATTGCAAGGCTGAGGTGGCGCCAAAGACAACGGTCTGGAACAGATAACATAAGGAGGAAAAGACTAGACGTGACCCGAGGCGAACCTGTGGAATACGGATAATGGTGGTGGCATTTGCACATGAGTAGGCGTGGCGGGAGAAACCGATTTATGTGTGGCGGCGATCTTAAATCCAGATCATCTATGGAAAAAATAAGCCTGCTTAATATGTCTTACAGATGTATTCGGTGGTGGGCTGCTTGCTTTTCGCGAATGACTTGATGACAATACTGCTAAGTCCTGAATTGGTAAAATCTTGCGAAAATTGTGATCTAAGTTTTTGCGCGGGCGGAAGATGATTTCAAACCGATAAATTAGTGAAAAAAATAAATTCTAATTCGGAGGGAAACTTTGTAAAATTCTGGGTTATCGATGCTAGGCTTAGATTCGAATATCAAGGTAATTACTTGTAATTACTATTACAGACTAACATTCGAACAATGACCATAAATTCAAACATTCAGTTGCAATTATGATAAATGTAAGGTTGAAGAATTCTACTGATGTGATAATATCTGAGGTGGTAATTGCGTCTCAAATTTTCAAACAGAGTTATTTGAATCAATGATAGAGGATACTGAAGACAATTCTATCTACTCAAAAATAATGAGCCTAAGCAATCTCATACAGATATTTTTCTTTGCGTGCATGCAGACTCAAGATGTGACTTCTTAACTGACAAAATGGAAGAATGTGTGAGAAAGTATGACAAGTAAAAGTTCATAAAGTTGTACAAAGTTTGCTCCTTAAGTTTTCACTAAACAAGGTCATAAAACTCGTTAGCTACACATATCTTGCCGAATTTTTGTGAGAAAGTGAAAAGCGAGAAAGTTGCATAACATGGGTCATTCTATAAATGTCAAACGAAGCCTAATGGGACAGAATCAACAACATAAATTAGCCGTTTGTATTCTGCTTATCGCTTGTAGCCTATGTAGAAACTATTAAATATTAGTGCTTATTCATTTCCTCAACGGTAGCACGGTTCAATTTACCTTTTGATTACAGAATAACTTAATTAACCTGCACAACAAGCTCGTTGTGCAGGTTAATTATGTTATTCTGTAATCAAAAGGTAAATTGAACCGTTAAAGATTGTTTTATTGATTTTCATTATAAGAAAAATTAAGTTGAAAGCGTTTCGTTCTCCATAACAGAATCGTTTACGACCACTGCTTCAAACAAGAAATGTCTGTCAACGTAGTGATATTCTGATTATCACCGAGGGCTGAAATCTGGAGCGACAGATTTTAGCATAGAAAATAGCTCAGGCTTATTATAGACAGCGCATAGTACGGCTGGTCCTGGCGAGAAGCCAGATATGTCCAGCATGCGAGAAACACTTTCTGATCGATTTCCGAAGCTTTGACCGATTGAAACCGAGCAAGATATAACTAACTGCATTGTCAGTTTCGGATTGCTGAGACTCATCGGAGGGCGGTGGTAATTCGCCGTCCTCTTTATCTGCTGTTACGTTCGGATGCTGAAACGAGGCATAGAAAGCATAGCTGAGATCTTGTGATAAGTAAAACAATAGTCTTTTCTCTAGATTGGAGGTATAAAAATCACCGTGAAAAGAGGCGACGGAGCTAGCTAATTGCAGAATAAATACAAATGTGTAGTCAATAAATGGATATTCAAGTATAAATTGGTCTCAAAATAGTTTTAAATATTCTCAAATAGAGAATTAATGTGGATAAAATCTTTATCAAAAAGCTAGTCATCAAGAAAAGTTAAGAAAATAACAAGTTATTTGCTTCCTATGCTGAAATCTCGAATATGTTGTGTCAATCATCTCCAAGTTTGCAAGGTGTTTTTAGCTACATTGATATAAATATAGCGCGAATAATGTTTTTGGTACAATTTTTCATATAGAAACTTTCATCTACACATTAGCAAAATGCTTTAAAGTTGTAGGTTGAGGCTTTAGCATGTAATCAAAGTATAATTTTTTTCACTAAATAAATAAAATTGTTCGGAATCGATTTTGAAACCTCAAATCCAACTATATTATTATATTTACCAGTTTTTGAAGTTAAACATTTGTTCAAGAAAAAAAACCAAGGTTAGGATCTCTTAATCATAAACAAGCAGCAGAGATTGCTCCATTCATTCCGAATGTATGTTATGTGCAATAAAATGACCACATCCACAGCTTTTGCTTAAGGCATAGCAATTCTGCGCATATAATAGCTCTCTGGGATGTGCAAACACGACAAAAGCTTTCTCGTTTGAGCACAAAAGAAATACTAGTTTTATATGAAAATCGTACGCTGTCAAGTTAGATCGAAGACATTTTTGGGATTTATCTCACATCGAAAACAATGAAGGCTTAGACAAAAGAGCAAGAATCTAGTAGAAGTTTGAGGTTTGGCTCTCAGCAAGAATTAAAGTACAGGTTGAGCTACATACTGGAAGAAAAATTTACAGCTTTTTCCTAGTTTTCAAATTATTTTCATAGAAAAAAAAAAAACAAGAAGTCAAAAAGTGATAAATGTCACAAAGATATTTCCCACATCTCAGAACAGCTGTGCTTACCTCATCATCATAATCATCCTCTGGTTCTTCGTCATCTTTGGTCACATAGTTGGGGTCAAGGAAGTCGACAAGCTCTTGACCAAGCAAATCAGCCAGAGCTGGAAATTTTTCGATTTTGGATTTTTTTGCGACAAGGAATAATTTGACAACTTTTGATGATGTCATTCATAAAAATTACAAGTTATTTTTAACAGAAACCATTACAACTAGTAATGATTATTGATCCATACATACTGAAATAATAACTATTTTGTTTCCATTCATTCAAAACGCTCTAGGGTTTCAAAAAAATTATAGGAAAAAATAATTATTGTTAATAAAATAAAAAGAGATATTTAGATATAAAATGTTATACCAAAATCAGTTGAGTTTTGTACTTTTCTGCAACCAAGAAAATACTGATTACTGAAAACTCACGATTAAATTCTTTCGGGTTAGAGAGAGGCGAAGGTGGAGGAGGTGGGTGGCGTTCCCTGGATGGTTTCTTACTCGGACGAGGATTAGGAATATATCGTTTTGGCAGCTTAGAAACGATTTTCTTCACTGGAAACGTCGATTGCAGTATTGGCGGTTGCGAACTTTCTTTTGACAATAACGATTTCTCGGAGGATCGTAAACTGCTCTTAATATCTTCATTGGATCGCTTATTGCTAGTATTTTCCGTGCTTCGTATTGCAGAGCTATTTGTCCAAGTTAAAAATTTCGGCAACGCAACTTCTCCTGATTTTTTTCGAATTTCTTTGGATTTCGACGAAAAAGGTGAAGAAGGCTTGGATTCTTTGGATTTTGACGAGGAAGAGGAGCGAGTCTCCTTCGATTTTGACGTAGAATTTGCTGAAGAATAGGAACTCAAGCGCGATTTGGCTTTCTCAGCTCGTTTTTCGTGTTCCCTCTCCAAAAGCTTTGCTCGAACTCGTTCATCAATGTGTGCCAGTTGAGCAAGGTTGAGTTTTATTGGCGATCCTTTGTGATGAACCGAAAGCAGCGATACTCCACTTTTGTCAGATGAGCCCAGTTTCTTCTCGACTACTTGCGAAGCCGGCTGCACTACGACCCGCGCAGTTCGAGAGACGAAGTCCTGAATTGATAGGTTAAGAGGGCTCTTTGGAAAACATGATGTCGTCAAATAATCAAAAAAAACAACGCAAAGAAATTGAATTTGCTTTGAAAATCAAAAATATAAAAGCTGTTGACTAAATTTCATGACTGTTGTCCGCGGTTTGTTACTTGTTTAGACTATTTCAGTAAATATAAAATCACTTTATTCAAAATCTCCCCTCGAATGAAAGTAATTTAGTGATTGGCTCAAATTATTGTTATGGTAATTTTAAAATTGCAACTTTTGAGAAATTCGTACTTGTATAAAATATTGACGCATGCGACTGGGAGAATAAAGAAATAATTCTTTCGCCATTTTTTTCTTCAAATAACAAATGAGGAAATCTGTTGAAGTTGAAAGATACGGAATTTTGAAAATGGGGCAACTTTTTCGGAAAAATCTAACAATTAGAAAATGTGGTAAGTTTACGAGAACTATTATTTAGTGCAAGATACATGAACGTTTGTAAATGCCAATTTTTGCAGATGGACTTTCACTTCTCAATTTTTAAATAAATAGTTTACGAATATTTTCAGCAAAGTTAGAATCTCTCGAAGGGAACAGCAAACATTGAAGAAAAGACACAACTGTCTATGAAAGCTCTTGCAGAAAAAAATAATGAAAAATTCATAAAAAAGAAAAAAAATAAAGAAAATTTTGCGGGACTGAAAACGGCCAAATATTGAATGGGTCCCTAAGATCTTATTGTAAATTCAAACTGCAAACTTTTTGAGTCCTGCTGAAACCATTTTCATAGCTTGTAAAAGTGACAGAATACAATATTTCGCCAATAAGCATGCGAGTTCATGATTTTCTTAAAGAAAATGTTCGGCTAAAGATTAGGAGCCAGCTAGGAAAAATGCCGTACTCAAATGCGATTGCGACCAAAGACTTGACTAACTATATCGTCATATTCGGGTATTTGAATCTCATCAGATGGCAGCGGTAAATCATCGTCCTTTCCAATTTGGTCAGAGGGCACTGGTAGATCATCGCCCTTTCCATGTTCATCAGAGGGCGGTGGTAGATCATCGTCCTCTCCAGTCTTATCAGAGGGTAGTGGTAGATCATCGTCCCCTCCAGTATTGTCAGTGGATGGTGGTAGATCATCATCCTCCTCCGCAGTCTTCTCAGAGGGCGGCAATGGATCTTCGACCTCTCCGTTTTCATCAGAGGATTCTGGTAGATCATGGTAATCTCCATCAGCTAGTATACTCGACTGCTGAAACACGACAAAGAATATAGGTTTGGTGAATCTCCGTGTTAATCGAATCCGTCCTTGTCACGCTCACTTTAATAATTCGACTGAAACAGGAGGTTCACACTAGAGTGTTCTACAAAAACAATGAGAAAAAGACATTATGATATGATTTTGAATTTTTTTAAATCTGCAAAAGTTGGGTATGCCAAATAAAGCAGAAAGGTAACGTAATAATAATGAATTTAAGAAAAATTAAGTTAAAAAAACACTGCAAAGCCGACTTACACCATATCTATAAGCATTTTCTTTTTCAAAAGCAAAACATTCGGACTTTAAAAGCTACAAAATTTGAGGCGCCATTCCACTATCTGGCCAATTTTCACTCTTGCGAATGACGCAAAATCGACCTGTGAGGGGTTACTTATCATTAGGTCTGCATGGTAGGAATTTTTTGCAAGATTACGGTAGCTGTACGATAAGGTGCCAAGCCAGATTAGCACTGGCTCCTCTATCCATATGTCTTCTTCTTGTTACATGATGTTAATTTTAAAAATCACCCAGCAATGCTAGTCATCAAATGAATTGTAAACAGCTATTCATTCCAATGGCTTTCCATGTAAGGCCTCGGACAGAGTTCACGCGATTTGATCGTCGCGATTTAATCGCCGCGATTTTCATTCGTTTTCATTTTACATCCAAAAATTTCAAGCGGGAAAAGTATCACAACCGAAATGCAAGCTTATTGGCATGCAATGAACTCGTAACAGTTGTCTTGTAGCGATTGAATCGCGTGAACTGTCCGAGGCCTAAAGGGCCGGGCATACTTCACGCGATTTCAGTCGCGACGCGATTTGGCAACATTCCAACTGTCCATAATTCGCTATAATTACATTCCAAATGTACAGAAGATAGGGCTTTTTATCAATCCATCTAACTTATATACACTGTGCACGTGCACTTTGCTAGTATTGAATCTGAAGACTTCTGGCGAATTGCCAAATCGCGTGAAGTATGCCCGGCCCTTAAGACCCCGGACAGACTTCACGCGATTTGATCGTCGCGACTGAATCGCGAGGAGACAACACAACATCATTCCATGCCGATCAACTTGCATTTCGGTTGTGATACTTTTCCAGCCCGAAATTTTTGAATGTGAAATGAAAATGAATGGAAATGTTGGCGATTGAGTCGCGACGATCAAATCGCGTGAAGTCTGTCCGGGGCCTAAGGGGTTACTTCACTACTTGCTCTGCATGGTAGGAACTTTTTGCAAGATTACGGTAGTTGTACGATAAGGTGCCAAGCTAGATTATAGACCTATCCAGCTATTCATTTGATTTCGGGAGAAGAAAATCTTTGTGTAGAAGATAAAGCAAATAGTAGACAGTTACTGAGGTTATTCTGATTTGGTAGTTCATAAGGGACAGTCCTTCCGTAAGCTAGACTTCTGAGCATAAATTTTCACAAATTCTCAATTAAAATCTTGACAAATCGAACATCTATGCAACTACTCTTTTTTGGCGCCGGCTTTGCGTAAAAATTGACTTTTTGCTTACTTTCTTGGTTGAAGTCAGTTAATTTGCGGATTTACTTGTCAAATGAATCCACGACTATGCAAAAAGTCCAATTGCCGACACAATTTTGTGGGCCAAAAGTCGCGTGGATCCGCTTGACGCACAATTTACAAGGGTTCCACTCATCGAATCGGCTTGTGCTTTTGCACAGTTCACCTGCATGTTGAGGGGGTGCTAGGACCAAAATTTTAGTTTAATTCTTTGGCTGTGAATTGCTCTGCGAACGTAACAAGCGGACATACACGAAAAAAACACGAAAGCAACCCTAAGCCCGTTTTGGTAACCACTTTGAGTAGCCCTTCCCTCAAAGTAAATCCTGAACATAATATACTTACTAACCTCGAAAAGTTCTTGTGTGAAGAATAAGAGTATCAATGCAACCACCTTGTCAGTGAGTGGACTAGAATCCAGCCCTATGATTTTTACTTTCACTACGTACCTACCGTAATCTTCCCAACTCTCTGCTGTACAACTTGTTTGTGGATTGTCTGAATGTCAAAAACCCCATAAAGCTCCAGCAAATTTCTAGACCTTCCCCTTAATCTGCACTTAACGTAAGCTTACAAACGAGTCTTTCCATGCAGACTGAATATATTTACGTGGACAGCATCAAATAATCATCTTTATAATCCAAGCTAAACCGAAATCCGAAACTTCAAATTCTTGGGGCCCGGATAGCGGAATAGCGCCAAACTTTTTCCGGCTGAAGAGGAATGTGTTGCGAAGCGTGATCGTAGCCCTACTTACCGTATTCTTTTCCGCGCTTGAACTGCATTTCGTCACTGTCACTAAGATTCTGTCAAGCATCACAATCGCGTTTACGCTTCCTTCGGTTCGTTCAACCACGAACAACACCTGTAACAGACACAAAGATACTCGTTTCTTGGCTATTCAGCCGTCAAAATCATGCGCCAGGAACTCGACGGATTTCTGTGGCTCATAAATCGAAGCGACGCGAATCGATCACCCGTCCAGATATGACGATTTATTCAGAATTTTCAATCGCTTGCAGTCGTAAAAGAGAGAGATACGCTCGTCACGCGTAATCACCGCGCATTTCTTGGTGGTGCGAGAGAACAGTCCCCCCGATAGAGGATAAACAATAAAAATCCGTTATATATTCACACCTGGATATCTTTTCCGCGTGGGACAGAGATCTGCTGGCTTATGATCTGACTCTGTCGTGATGGTTCCGCACGGAAGCAGTTTTCTTCCCGGATTGGATGGTACCATCGTCGCCAGCAAAGTTTTAGTCGAGCTGTGGGACTTTGCCAGTGCCTAAATTAACCACAAATACGGGAGCTTACTTAAATTCCGATCAAATTAGACTTCTAATTGAAAAGCTTTGGTGCGATTAAAAGTGCCAATCCGATAATAGAAAAGAGAATTAAATTAGCCCAAATGGCCAATTTACAAAGACTCGTTGGTTATAAGGTTTTTCAGAGCTGTTGTTCAAGTTCATTTTATTCAGTTACAAAACCCTACTTACCGATCCAAACTTCCTTTATTGGTAAAAAAGACGCCCTAATCGCTTATTCATAAATACAAAAAATCTAAAGCTTTTTCAAAAGAAAGTGCTTTTCAATCCTTCCAGATGCTCTCCTCCAGAAAGACAACGCACACAAAACACGCATTCTCAAACAAGTCTTGGGTATCTTTGTTACGGTAGGATTACGGTTATTAAACTAGTGGCTGGAATTGGTTAAATTTCAGAGAATGTAAGAAAATAACTAAAACTTTTGGTTTGTTGAACAAAATAAAAATTTGCGCTTCATTCAGCTCTTCAACACACCGAAGAATTTACAGCAAGATAGCGTTATTATGTGATTTGAATAGTCAAGAAATTTTGAATTAATGGATAATAATTCAAATTATGGACGCATGAGTTTTGATTTTTACCGTTTTTAATTTATAGAACGAAAAATTTAAGGTTTATGGATAATACTTTGGACAAATGATGTTACATAAGCTTCAATTTTTTGGTGGTTAATATAATGTTTTAACAATTTTTTTTCAAAATTTTTTCAGCTTTGACGTACCACGAAGTCAAGTTAATGCGTCGAAGAGATTCTCAGAAGTTCCCGATTGGAATACGAAAATCAGTTCCAAGATGAAGCTGAAAACTTCCCAGAAGTATTTACCATAACCACGTACTCACCTTCCCCCCCCCCTACCCGATCAATCCATTGAATTTTTTCGAACATGTAAAACATTGGTGTGCAAGCCACTCTTTATACGGTATTTTCTACCGTATAATAGAGAAAAAATGTAATTACCAACAAAACGGGCTATATCCCATAGACTTTGGAAACTATTCTGAAAGACCAAAGTCAGGGCTCGGCACGGCTGGCATCGGGTCAAGCTGGATATCGTTTTTGGGATAAAAAGCAAAGGATGTCGTTTTTATGGCCGAAAAGACAAAAATTGCAACGTTCTTTTTAGTCGAGTTTCGATTTTTTGTTGGTTTTATACGATTAGGCTTTAGGGGCAAAGGGGACTTCATACGAGATTTTCAAGATGAAAGGAGACTTTGTTTTGAAATTTCCCTGGTGCCAGCTTGTGCCGAGCCTTGACCCAAGTGTAAACTGTATTGAGAATGATGATGAAGATGAATACAAAGATGATAGATAGATGATGAATACAAACATAAATTTACTAGCATCCAGTTTTAACTTCAATTACCCGCAATTTTTGGATATAAATTTATTTGAGGCACAAACAATTCCGCAGAGCAATTAAGACTGGATTGGAGAATAGTCGCATGATCAAAGGATGAACGCAACCATAAAACAGCAAGCTAAAGCTCAAGCGACTGCATCTACCCAGCTTTTCAAGAGGTTTATAGAGCTGATCTTCCTTTAATCTTGAAAGAACAGCTTAGATCAGTGTTACAAGTGTGGTGGAATTTCTTGTAAGAAGATAAATTGAAGTGTATTTCATAGAGGTTTCTAGGAAGCACCATAGTTAGCAGTTCTTGCAAGACATCAAAATAAATCAATTTTATCTCAAAATTCATTTAAATATTTTTTTGCAGTATCGAATATACTTTTGTGATTGTAGAATTATCTCAGTCTTTCTATAGTAATCTCATAATTTATTATACTGACCACGCATTGAAAGCTAACTAGAAAAAACTACAGTCTCAAAGACGGAAAACAATTGAAATAAAAACTAAAAAAACGTTTTCTCAAAATAATGAAATACTAAGATAAGAATAAAATTAAGGGTGACAACCAGCTTGTCTTTTCACTGCAGCATTGTATCATGCTTGCCTTGAAAGATAAGTCTGCTTTCTAAAAATCATAGATTTTTTACTTCAAAATTTTGTAGTTCCAACGAGACTGCAGGAGGAAAGAACTTGCTTTTGCAACAGTTGAAGAGTTCCTTCCAGAAACGTAAAAAAAATGTTGATTAGATATTTTTTCATACAATTTTGGAATTTTCGCCTTGGAATTTTTGGATTGAAATAATCCTTCCTTGAACTAGGAGTTACTCGCTGACCTTTCGATTCTCCCGATATTTTTCTAATGGCACAATAGAAGCTGTAGAGAGTATATGTATAGATTCCAAAACAAAACTATTCTTGATTTTCAATGTAGGATTTTTGAAGACGCTTCTCGAATTCCTTATAGCAGCCTCTTAAACAAGCTATGAAACAAAATGACAGAATACAAATTGGCTCTAATTTTCTCTAGCCATCATCAAAAGTCTCAGCTAAAGTTCGTGTATGAACTGTAAGATCGTATATTTGCTCTTCCACAACCAGAAAGACTGTATAGCAAATAGAGGAAATTAGGTTATAATAGGAGTTCAGCCATTTGGAACTAATAAATCTTAAATATGGAAAAGTTCGCCAAAGCCATTAGAGAACATTCCATTGAGATGATGGGAGTGTCGAAAAAAGCACATTTAGAATTATAGACCGGCTAATGTACGAAACGAAACGGTGCTGGTTTTGCAGCCGGCCGACGATTTCACTTTCCGTCGCGCGTTTTTGCCGTAGCCGGTAAGTGAAATAGGTCAGCTGTACTCCGCTCAGAAAGCGTAGCCGAAGATCTCTTGGAGAAGAACACATTAGCGTAACAGCGTTGCGGAAAGATTGGGAATAGTTTAGGATGATTGTAGAAATCCGTTTGGGACGCTTGGAATTCTTACCTGTACTGTATAGTGACTTTACCGTCTGCAGAGCAGAATGCGCACGAGCCGAAGGCTGCTTGGCCTTCGAAGCCGTTTTGAAGGAGGTAGTTACCGGCTGCAAGGGGATTTTTATAGCAGTTTATGGTCAGAACATGCTGGCTAGACGGATTTCAATCAGAACCTGGCGGCAGACGACTTCTTCCCACTAGAAATGTGCGTCGAAACTCGTTGATGTTGATGGAACGACCGCTTCGTACCAGCCATTTCGCATCTTCGTTCAACGATTGCCAACAGCATGGACGTTTAAAATCGCAGCTTAACTCGTCCGCAGCAAAAGCAACTGGAAGACAATCACGGATTAATGAAGCAGCTACACGGGGGGGGGTATTGAAAATCGAAATAAACGGGGGATTTGAATGACCACCTCGCAGCGCAAGCGCGATGAGACCGGCACTACGCCACAGCATTCACGACTTGTCCTATCATCGGCCCGCCCACTAAGCGCCCGAAGAAATCTCATCAATATGCAGAGTTGTGCCGCGCGCATTCAACACCAGAGATCTACAGGATCACACAGGGGAGGGGGGGGGCAGATACAGGCGGGGGAGGAGTCGATCTGTCCGTTCCCACGCTGAAGAGGGACATACTTTTCTGCCGAAGCTGCGAAAAATGGAAACTGAATGCGCGAAAATTCCTATAATTAAGTTCCAAAAAGCTTCTGGCCTATTATTTTATACCTATTTCTGTTTATTCACACTTAAAGGTGTACAAAAAAACCGATGATTTCGACTGAGGTTTCAAAAGTTGTGGATGTAGACCTATCTGGAGATATCGTTTCAATTACAAAATTCTATGAGTTCTTCATGCGAGCTGCAAGCTCTAAAGGTCATGATTTCGGTCGGGTTCGCTGGACCCGTCTTTGACTTCCGTGCAAGGATCACCGGTCGACCAGCCACGGTATCTTCCACCTGATACTCCTTCTCTTCTATCCTTGATCGTTGGAATAGGTCAGAGCCAAAAGCTAGCGAACCACTCGCGGAAAGATGGTTGAGACGTAGATTTTAAACTACTTATTATTACTACTATTACTATTATACTATTACCACTACTACTATTACTATTACTACTACTACAACTATTACTATTTTCAATATTATCTTATAATTATAGGTATTAAGCAGCTATTACTGTTGCTGCTTTTTTTATCGGTCAACCTCTTCAAAACTCGATCATGAATTTTTGTGACTGAACTGCCATTTTGAAGAGATTTTATTGTATACCTCTACAAAACTTCGTCCATTATCATTTCATTTCATTTCATTAAATGAGCTCTAAGGGTTCCACAGAAAAGAAATAGAAAAACAATGAAAAATCAGTACACACTGAACCTGAACAAGAACAAATTAGATCATCACGCCAGTTAGAGCCAGTCCAGTAGACAGGGTAGTAAGGCATGCGTGGGCGTACATGTTAATTAGCTGTAGACATTAAATGGACTAGGATGCTGTCAATGGAGATACTTCCCGCGTTTGCCAGCAAAAACGGTCTTAATATGTAATTAAATCATGATTCTAACGATTACTCAAAAAAAAACCCGGTGAATCACACTAAAGCTCTTCAAAAGTCATTGACCGTGATCTGAAGCTATTCAAGTTCTTGAGGGCTTTGATTAATCTTACATATGCATCCGCATCTCGCTTGCTCGAAGGCGGAGCAAATGGAAGAAAAAGCTTGTGAATGTATGTATATATGTATGTATATGTATGTATATTAGGTTGATGCATAATTTCTGCACCAAAATAGGTATAAACCGCAATAACTCGGAATAATCCCATATCCCAAGTAGATTTGATATATCATTACATACAGCAAACCTAGCTCTACAAGATAGTGCTCAAATATCTGAACCAGCTTTGATCCACGCGAAGTTTCGAGCGAAAATTGAAAAAAAACCATGAGTCCGAAAACCTTAAGACTAATCAAAACAAAATTGTAACTTCGTTCAAAAAGCTCCTACAAAATTTCTTTCTTGCTCACGCGTGGACATTCCACGTAAGACATCTATCTACGCGGTTTCTGTATTTTTTTTTCTCAGCTAGACGATGAGAAAACGAAGTTTTTCATGTATTTGCCAGATTAGTGCTGAGATGTTCTAGCACTAACAGTTGTATAGTACATGCCATTAGCAGTGAAACGTTACATTTTCAGCCTTCTAGAACTGCTAGTTCACGAGAAATGACGAATCAAGCTCTCTACATCCGAATTTTTCTTGCCTAGTTGCCGAAAATTCGATATTTCTCGTAAACCAGCTGCTGTAAAAAGCTGAAAATTCACACTCACGCTTCTGAGGTCCTATAGTATACAACTGTCAGTGCTAGAACATCTCAGCATTGTTTTGGAAAAAACATGAAATTCTTCGTTTTTCTAATTTCTAGCTGAGACAAAAATACAGCAACTGCATAGAGAAATGTCTTATACGAAATGACAATGCATGAGCAAGTTAGAAATTTTGAAAAAATTTTCTGAACTGACTTCCAATTTTTTCTTGGTTTTTGGGGGCGCTTGGATCTTTTCCGTTTTTGGCTTCAATGTTCGCTTGCATCAAAGCTGCTGCAAAACTTTAGGCACTATCTTGTAGATATCAAATCCTACTTGGGATATAGCATTATTCCGAGTTATTGCGGTCTGTACCTATTGGTGCAGGAATTATGCATCAACCTAATATATATGTACAAATGAATGGAAGATTTGATGATGGACTGTTGAACGCTGTACCATAAACAGCTCAACATTACCTACTACATCAAATCCAGCCCATTCCGTTTTGAGCACTATACATATATAGTCTGCTGATAATGTGCATGTAAACAAAGCCTTCTATAACGTGTAGGAGATTTCTCGGAAAAGAAATATAACTGTCAACGGAACAATGTCTACTTATTGCCCATTTGCCCATCCATATCAACATTATTGCAACAAACTTTGTGTAAAAGTTTTAGCGGTAAAGTAGAGAAGTTAGACGCATATTTAAATCATGAATTTAATCCTAACTTCTTCAAAATATCAGGTCACTTCATAGAGATCCGTTAGAGTTTACCGATGTTACCAGTGTTACCGTGTTACTCGTATTACCGGTGTTATCAGTGGTACGCTTTTTATTCGTATTACTAGTGATACCGGTTTTAATGTTGAGTAGTGAAATAACCACCAATATATCAACAATCATTTTCCTACTCAACAGCAATAAAAGCGGTAATACTAATATCACTAGTAACAAGCGTAACAATGGTAACACGGGTAACACGAGTAACACTAATAACAAGAGTAACAAGCGTAACACTGGTAACATTGGTAACACTAATAACACGGGTAACAATGGTAACATCGGTAAACTCTGACGAATCTCATAAGTTCGTACAGTTTTCATTATCGTTCTCGTTTCTTTGAGGAGCGGTTGATTTGCAGCAAATGCGTATATCATTGAGAAAAGCTGATCATGTTTCCCAAAATAAACTAATGACTTTCGATGGAAAGCTGATCTTCTTTGGTTCCTCTTCTCTCAAAGAAGGATTTTCGTCAAAATAAGACAAAAAGGCTTTTCAGAAAACAGAGTTTACAGGGTCCTCTGAACGAGACTTGTTGCAGTTTGTGCAAGAGTTTTTGCACTGAAAATTGCTAGGCAAGAACAAGACGTTCCCTCATACCGTGCGCAACACGACTGCATAGTCTTAACGAATTCCTACTGCAGAAAAGGTCTAATAAACAGGTCCAGCGAGCTTACTTGCGCAACAAACTTGGCCCCCTACATCAACCGACTTCATAGCTGTTGCAAGACTTGACCGTACATTAGTATCCAATGTTCCCAGAATACTCGCTTTAGCATGCTATCACCTGTTCCAGTCTATCACACATCATATGAACGGCGTCTGTTTTGATCGCCTTAGATCGTCTGAAGACGATCTAAGGCGCTGGTTAGACGACTTTTACGGGGCCAGCCCCGTTGAGTTTGGAAAAACGAAAGTGAAAATCTGATGGCACGGTGGAAGGTTGTGCGCAACAACGGAACTAACATTCTTGAATAAATTTTGCTAAAATTTCGTTATTTCGCTGATCTATTGGAATTCTACAAACCAAACTTATAAAACGACCTATGTAATGACTGCTTTTTATAATGGCACATCACGCTTGATGTGACAAATAAATGAATAAACAAACAGATAATAACAATAACAAATAATGGTGATTTCATTTCTGCAGGATTTTGCGAAGCGACTTGGACAAAGTCGGAACTAGCTGAGCTGCAGGAGACATGCAAGGGTATAACATTGGTTGTAATCCTTTGAACTGTTCTTAGACGAATGCCGAGCGGAGGAAAACGAAAGCATCAAATCATTAGGCCGATACGAATGAAAAATACCATCTTTACGATAAGAAACTTGTGTGGAACAGCAAGATTGAAAGGAATCAACAGTACTCAGGTTCAAGTTAAATGAAACTTGGAAATCAAAAAAAAAGGATCTAGACAGAGATGTTGTTACGAGTACTTCACCGAAGATCGCAATGTGAAAAATTTACATTGAGCATTTTACCATATAAAATCTCTACATATATTTATATAAAAAGCAGAAAATTTGTATGTTTGATTCCCCAATGAAGGATGGGCAGTAAAGCTCAGTTTGATCTGCTGGTCATCAAGACATGGTAAGGAAAGGTAGGAAGCGAACCCAAGACGAGTCGGAATCAAAAGAAAGATAAGTTTTGCTACATGAGAGGTCAAGCGGGATGAACTGGCTCGAAACCGGGGTGGAACCCGGGACGCCAGCTCGTGAATCTATAAAATCAACTGCTACTTGATTTCCACTTTGGCGGTACTCCATACCTCCTTGGTTGCATAAATTATGTGCCCACGATTCTGACACCTTGAATTTCAAGTTTTCTTATTAGAGCAAAATGATTATTATGATGGTTTGCTACCATCTGAAAGATCTTCTTCCTCTTCCATTCAACATGTGATTTTCTGTTCATCCAAGCAACTCATTGATTCAAATATGGCTGATTTGAGAAGTGGTATCATTCAACTTTGGTAGGAAGAAATAAATAGGACACTGTTCGTGAAATGTCTCAAGAGCTCGTTTCTGCAAATATATCTTTAAAAGCAAAGGACAAGGCGATTTCAGTGACACTCATCACGTTATCCGATCTGCTCACTTGTAGAATACATTGTTTCTTTTCTTATCCTGAAAAGCTGTACACCTTTAAAATCTGAGCCACCCTTCCACCAAGCATTTCACATCTATTTTGCTTTCCTTTCAAAAACGACAGTTGGCGTAAAAAGTGCCTCCTCTGCTTGTGGATCCGAGATTCTTCGCGTGCAAGCGACAGATGACTATTCTATGACTACTATGAAACCTCGGGTGTTCGGACAAACCACTGAAAATGTCGTATGTTAACATGTATCTGTTAGATG